GCTGCTGTTTTTCTGCCTGAGTCCCCAGTTACTAAAAGATGTCTGTGAAAACAGATTCTGGGTGTGGTTTGTGCCTAAGCCGGGGTGTGGAAGGGAGCCCCTGTTGTGCAGGAGTCCCCTTCAACTGTATCTCCATCACCTCAAATGTCATTGTTTAAGATATCTATTCTGAAATAGACAAAGCATTTTTGTATATGTGCATGTATGTCTTTGTGAACATATGCCATTGTATGCAAGTTGCAGGCAGTTCGTGAGCTGTGTGGGTGGGTGCTGAGAACCAAACCGCTTCCTCTGGCAGAGCTGAGCCAATTCACATACAAAATGTCACTATTAATCTGACGGAGGACTAGAACGTCAGAACGTTTCTAAATACGGTTCTACTCATTAGCCAACACCACCCCAACCCCTAGTTAAGGCCCCTGCTGTGATTTTGATGCTTGATTACACTAGATGTCAGAGTTCCTCTACTACCCCGAGCCTCACACGCCACTGATACGGTGTCTCACACCTTTGATCCTTGCCCTGGAGAGGCAGAAGCATGCAGACTGTGAATTTCAGGCTAGCCTGGTCTACGCAGTCCTTGCAACCCTGTTGCAAGAAGTGGTGTTTTATTTGTTTTGTTGTTGTTTCTGTATAGCCAAGGCCATACAGAGAAACCCCATATGGAAAAAACAAAATTCTGAAGTTTACCATCATTGCAAATATTTTTATTAGAGTGTCTTACACAAAGCAATGGGTTTCATTATCACACTTTCATGGATTCCTGTTAAAGCTCTAGGGAAACAGAGCTGATAGAGTGAATATATCTTCTAAGGCTGTTTGTTAGACTGTCTTACAGTCAAGTAGTCCAGCAGTGATTGTCTACATGCCATCCAAAGGCTGAGAATAAGAGGCAGCAGCTGCCCAGCCCGTGAGGCTGGATGCTGAAGATTGGAGAACCTTGCAAACAAGTCTTCAGTCCACACTGGAACACTAGAATCAGAATTCTGGCAACTACACAGCAGATTCACGTGCTTCCGCAAAGGTGAGGGCAGACGAACAAAGATGCTATTTAGGGGAGGATCTTTGCACTTACACACACACACACACACCAGTTAATCTTTCCTAGAAACACCCTCACAGACATGCCCAGAGGTACATTGATTCCAGAATAACTCAATTTGACAGTCAACATGAATCACAGCTGTGGTGATCAGCATTAACCATCGAAGCCACAGTGGTGGCGATGCCTTTAATCACAGCACTTGGAGGCAGAAGCAGGAGGATCTCTGTGAGCTCGAGACCAGCCTGGTTTACACATATTTGTTCTAGGACAGACTCCAAAGCTAGACAAAGAAACCACGTCTCGAAAAAGGATGGATCACTCCAACAGGGTGCTAATGATCACAATCCAAAGAACCAGGTGTGGTAGGACACGCCTGTTAAAGGCTACAGAGGCAGGGGAATCTGCGTGAGATACAGCAGCTAGTCTGGTCTACATAGTGAGTCCCAGGACAGGGCTGTGCAGAGACCCTGTCTCACATGTGGCATTGCTTTGATTGTATTCACTACTCCATCACCTTCTGTCCCTCCTCCTCCCTCGTGCTGCCCCCCCTCTCTTCCCTAACCATTCCTCTCTGCTTTCCTGTGTAGTCTCTTTTCTGAAGGCGAGCATTCCACTATGTGAGCATGGACATGCCATCACAGTGATCATGGGAAGGTAGACATGTCTGGGGTACACCGATATCAACTACCTTGGGAACATATCCAAGAACAGGATTGCTGGGTCTTGTATGGTGATTTTACTTTTAGTTTTATGAGGAAGATTCACACTATTTTTCATGCCTGTACTAACTTATTAGTGCCAATAGCATATTGATGCTCCTTGTTAAAGATTCCAGGGAGGATGGGAGGGAGAGGGAACTGGGATTGATACACAAAATAAGGTTGTTTCTAATTTAAATTTTAAAAAATCTAAGAAAGGGAGAAGAGATTCTAAGAACAACAGCAGCAAAAACCTAGTTAATACAAAATAAACTTTGGGTGCACTCACACACACACCCATCTGTTATTTCTGAAAAAGAAATTAAGGTGAAAACTCACAATAGTCTAATAGCCTAGAATTCTTAACTATGTTTAACCAATCATTTACTTCTTTGGGATCTATGGACAACCATGGAAGCGTGACTAATGTAACTAAAGCTTATATAGATAAATGGAAAAGATCTCTTGCCTGTCAACTTTCTCTGAATTGAAATAGACCCTTCGGGTTAGAGACTCATTAAGACTCATTAAGTGAACCAGGTGGTGGTGTATGCCTTTAGTCCCAGCACTCGGGAGGCAGAGGCAGCCGTATCTCTGAGTTCAAGGCCAGCCTTGTCTAAGGAGCGAGTTCCAGGTCAGACTCCAAAACAGTAGAGAAACTGTCTCAAAACAAACAAACAAACAAACAAAAAGAATACTTGTCCATGGGCCTAGGTTCATACCTAGAAAGACTCAGAGATGCAAAGACTCAGATTTCCAGGTCAGACTCCAAAACAGTAGAGAAACCGTCTCAAAACAAACAAACAAACAAACAAACAAACAAAAAGAATACTTGTCCATGGGCCTAGGTTCATACCCAGAAAGACTCAGAGATGCAAAGACTCAGATTTCCAGGTCAGACTCCAAAACAGTAGAGAAACCGTCTCAAAACAAACAAACAAACAAACAAACAAAAAGAATACTTGTCCATGGGCCTAGGTTCATACCTAGAAAGACTCAGAGATGCAAAGACTCAGATTTCCAGGTCAGACTCCAAAACAGTAGAGAAACCATCTCAAAACAAACAAACAAACAAACAAACAAAAAGAATACTTGTCCATGGGCCTAGGTTCATACCTGGAAAGACTCAGAGATGCAAAGACTCAGAGTTCCAGGTCAGACTCCAAAACAGTAGAGAAACTGTCTCAAAACAAACAAACAAACAAACAAAAAGAATACTTGTCCATGGGCCTAGCTTCATACCTAGAAAGACTCAGAGATGCAAAGACTCAGATTTCCAGGTCAGACTCCAAAACAGTAGAGAAACTGTCTCAAAACAAACAAACAAACAAACAAAAAGAATACTTGTCCATGGGCCTAGCTTCATACCTAGAAAGACTCAGAGATGCAAAGACTCAGAGTTCCAGGTCGGACTCCAAAACAGTAGAGAAACCCTGTCTCGAAAAACAAAACAAAACAAAAAAGGCTCAGTAAGTAAGTGGGGCTACAGAGATGGCTCAGGGGTTAAGAGCATGTCTCCTCTTCCCAGCATCCTGAGTTCAATCCATTCCCAGCAACCACATGGTGGTGCTCTCTTCTGGCCTACAGGTGAACATTCAGGCAGAATACTGTACAAATAAAAAAGACTCAGGAAGTACGGGCTGGAGAGGGGCTAGTTCCAAGGGATTCCTACACACTCACACAGTCATACATGCAGGCAAAACACCAATGCACATGTAACAAATAAAGGAAACCTACAAAACTCAAGAAGTAAAGATCTCCACAAGCGTTAACAGTAGCTGGAGAGGAAACACACATCATACATACATACTCCCTGGATACAGTGCTCAGATATTATCACCCATGAGATGCGCTTAGCTTTCTTCACTTTTACAATTCAGGGTTCAGCCTAGGGAATTAATTGTGCCACCCACAGTGGACTGGGTCAATTTAAAGTCAAGACAACCTCCACTGAAATCCCACTAAAATGCCTCAGTGCTAACCTGAGCTACATAACTCCTCAGCTTAGGCTTTCTTCCAGGTGTCTCTAGGTGTATCAAGTCAATGTTAAAATTAAACAGCTTCCTGCCTCAGTCCCTGTAAAAACTGGATTAAGCTCAGCTCTCTAGGAGTTCCTTAATCCAATCAAGTTGACTACCAAAACTATTCCAGCACAGAAATAAAAAATTAAATGCTTAAATAAAAAACTAGCCTTGTGTGTAACCCATACCTTTAATGCTAACATGCAAGAAGATGGGTCTGAATTCTAAGCCAGCCTTGTGTGCTCCAGGCCAGTCAGAGCTACAAAGTGAGACCCTGTCTGGAACAACAAAAAAACCTAACTACTAGAACAGATAAAATTTCATGCCTGTGAGTTGAGCAGAAATTTCCTCAACATGACCTCCAAACCAAGCACACACCTTTAACACCAATACTTGAAGATCTAAGCCACATATAATCATAAAAATACAAATTAAAGTCACAGTGATAGCCCAATGCTTATTAGATTGGATATTATAAAAAGATATTATAGTTTTCAAAGCCAGCAAGCAAGTCCACCTGCGTAGTCAGCAAACAAAATCATCCTATAATCATCCAAGCGGGCATACTCTGGAATAAAAAGTATTTTCATAGCAAAGGGCATTCAACCTATAATTTCAATTGGTTGAAATATAATTGTTCATTCATTAATTAAAAATTAGTAAATTGATGGAAGATGTCATTCTGTAAATATGTTTTTCTTATTGGTTAATGAATAAAGCCCTGTTGGCCAATAGGAAAACAAGATAGGTGGGACTAGAGGCAAGGAGGATTCAGGGAGAGGTAGGAGATTCAAAATGTTGAGACTTGAGGAAGAGGTCCTGACACTCTCCAGTAAGCCAAGACCACGTGGAAACACTTAGATTAATAGAAATGCTAGTAACTGGCCAACAGCTTAATATCTAATATAGCGTCTGTGTGTTATTTGGGGCTGATGAGGTTGTGGGACCAGACTGGTGGGAAAAATGCCTGTAACAGTAAATGGCCTGGAGCACTTCTACCTTGAAATTTCTGAAACATCTTCAGCTTCATTTCAATGGAAACATAATGCAAACACGACCTAAAATGTTGTCAGGACGAGAAGAAGTCTGACCATGTTCTGTGCAGGCTCCTCCTTAGATGTGTCGTGAGCATGGGGTCTGTGAATTTGGAGAGCAGCTGTTTGCTTTGGAAAAATTCTGGAGCTGGGGAAGGGGGGCATTTTTGATGCTAGCAAGGCAAGGGGCGGTAGACTACAATCAGAAGCTGGGGTGACTTAATTCTGGTAACTGGTGTGAGTAGTTTGTGTTCCAGTGGTTCGGGCTGAGAAATTCCTCATCACGCTGGTCATAAGGAGAGTGGAAGAGGTCTTTCCCCCTGAAGTGAGATGGAGATAGTCTCAGGAGAGCAGCTTCACTGAACTGGTAGGTCAGCTTTCTGCGGATTTTCGTGATCTCCCCAGTCCTGGCATAGTTCCTCAGGGCTCTGGCCATCTTCTGGTAAGTCATGGGCTTTCTGTTGCCTTTTCTTTTCCCCCATAGCTCAGCAAGCTTTTCTTTGTTTTTTGATACAAACTGAAAGACACCTTTGGTTTTGTCGACCCACTGAATACAAGACGACATCTCCGAATCGCACAGAGATTGGAAAAGGTATTCAAACAGTCGAAGCTTCCTCCGGCCTGCAATGGAGGGAGAGAGGAGACATCAAACCCGTGTGGCTGGCCCTGGAAGGCCCCATGGAAGGACTTGCTACCCCAGAAATGGAAGCTTCACTGAGCTGGCTTCCTCTCATGCACTGCCTTAGGAACACAGTTCCCAGCAGTCCAGAAAGATCTGTGGGCCTCTTAAAAGTTTGCACTGGGACTAAATGATGTGGACATTGCTAAGAGTTCCTTATTTCCTGCACCCCCACATCTGGAGATTTTTCATTTGAAGGAAGTTTTCCTTCACAGTTAAATCTCCACCATAGTTTCTCATTATGAAACATACCCAGAGGACCTGAGTTCAATTCCCAGCAACCACACAGTGCTCTGTAATGAGATCTGATGCCCTCTCGTGGCCTGCAGGCATGCATTGCAGGCAGAACACTGTACACAAAAGTAAATCATTTAGAAGGAGGAGCAGGGAGGCTGGAGGGAGGGCTCAGGGGTTAAGAGCACTCACTGGCTGCTCTTCCAGAGATCCTGAGTTCAGTTCCCAACAACCACATGGTGGCTCACAACCATCTACAGTGGGGTCTGATGCCCTCTTCTGGCATAAAGGCATACATGCAAATAGACCACTTGTATACATAAAACAAACAGGTTCGAGTCCCAGCAGCTCACAACCACCTTTAACTCCATTTCACTGTTCTCAAATGCTGTCCTCTCTCGGCCCTAAAAGTAATATTAAGGGAATTAGTAGCCATGACACAGAGGCTAGCTCTGAGATTGTAAACAATGACAACAAAGAAAACACTGGACAATTCTACTCCAGTTTTTCTGAAGTTTACCATTGTTGCAAATGTTTTTATTAGCGTGTGTTACTTACACAAAGCAATGGGCTTCGTTACCACACTTTCATGGGTGTGTGTTAGAGCTCTAGGGAAACAGAGCTGATAGAATGAGTATATCTTCTATATACTGTTTGTTAGATTGTCTTACATGATACATGCCGTCCAAAGGCTGAGAAGCAGTAGCTGCCCAGCCTGTGAGGCTGGATGCTGAAGATCCGAGAGCCTTATGAACAAGTCTTCAGTCCACGTTGTTCATGAGCAATGGCTAAGGGCATTGCCATTTTCAATTATGAAATCAAGAGCTAATGTCAGTGTCTTTCATCTACTTAGAAATGTAATAATGTGTCTCAAAATGACTAGATAAGGAAGTAGATTTAGAGGATTCATTTGGATTGTGTGTTGTTGATAGAATTCATTGCATTAAAGTGACAGCCACATCACGACATCCAAATTAGCACATGCATGCCGCATCACACTCCACTAGATCCAAAAACCAAAACAAAACTCTTGGCTAAATTATATTTCCCCCCTTGAGAAATTAGCAGTTTATTCCTACGCTGCTTGCATATCTGCACCCTCCAAATCTGCTTGTGTTATCTTGGTGTGTGAACTGTGAAACTGTCCTCTGATCATCACAGGCTTTTGAAGGTGATATCGCTGCACTACTATCAACTCACCACAGCTGTGGCGACCCTCACAAGAACCACACAGAAACCGAGACTGCCTACACTCTAGCATGGTTATGGAGAGGCACATGGAGCTCTGTGAAAAGCTTCTGGTAGTTAATGGCTGCTGGGGGTGAGGTGGCGGCATCATTTTTCTTCCCAGAATGTAATCAGTAAGTTACCTAGGATCCAATAAATAACCCGATAGCCTTGGAGTGGTCCAATTCATGTTTTCTTTTTCTTTCTTTTTTTTTTTTTTTTTTTTTTTTTTGAGACAGAGTTTCTCTCTATTGCTTTGGAGCTTGTCCTGGAACTAGCTCCATAGACCAGGCTGGCCTTGAACTCACAGAGATCTGCCTGCCTCTGCCTCCGGAGTGCTGGGACGAAAGGCGTGTGCTACCGACACCCAGGTTGCTTCAAACTTGCAATCCTTTTGCCTCAGTGCTGGCCCTAAGTATGTACTACTGTGTTTGGCTACAAGATAATACTTAGAAATAGAATTAATTCTGAACTCCATCCATCATGACGCTGTATACTTACCATCTAAAAGCAGGATTGCAAGTCTGAAGGCATCTTGGTGTCTACCAGTGAGATCTAAGGCCAGCCTAGGCTATGTAATAACAGAAAGAAAAGACCAAACACATGCATAACAGCACGTTGTACCTATGTAAGGAGTGTCACAGCAATGTACCTTTTCCTCCCTTTGGCTGGAAGAGGGAGACTTGTCCCGCCAGCTGGTTTTCATTTATGCTCTGCAGAGACTGTGGGATATTTTCTTCCAAATACAAGTCCCCAGGACCATTCTACAGACACAAGACAGCAGGATGTTAAGTGGGAGTTTGTCCCGTGCCTCCCCGACCCTCATTGGTGGCTGAAGACCAAGGCTAAGAAGAGTAATGGGTACTAAACCTCTGCATTCTCAAAGTGCTGCCCCCACTACAGCCAGATCATCCCAGGGATGATCAAGCCATACCGGGACCACAGGACAGGCGCTAACGTTTGACTCCTCCTCTCATGAGAAAAGAGGTGGCTACTCCTCTTCTTAAAGATGCCCAGTGAGAGGAAGATCCAAGAGAATCGGTGGGAATTAGGTGTGGCAGATCACAACTGCAACCCCAGCACCAAGACTAAGGCTGGGAGAGTAGTGCTTCAAGTGACTGAGGCAGGAGGATTGCTGTGAGTTTAAGGAGATCCTGGGCTGCAGAGCCTGCTAGACACAAGAACATCACCTCACCCCCTGTCCCCCCCCCCAAAGATGGATGGGAGCTGGGATCGTCATATGTGGCAACAACGTGTCCATTGGTTTATTAGACACAATGGAGGGGGCTGGGCTTGAGCCATCTTATCACCCCACACAATCAGGCCAGGGGTCCCAATTACAAGAAGCTGTACTCTGCAGTCTGGGAGTTAAAAAATAAGGTTGCCAGATTCGGCGAGTAATAAAAGTGGACTATTATTCCCAGGCCCTTCGTTGTGTGTCCATTGATCACACAAATAAAAATGTCTGTGGTGGGAGGGGCTGATTGGAAGTCACACCCAGGAGAACACATTCAGCTTGGGGATCCAGGTGACTACACTATTTATTGCTCAGAACTTTCCCATCTGCTTCTCTGTTCCGCGTCTGATCTGAGGTCCTACTTATCTCTCTGCTGCTTGGTCTCCTCACCCTTTTATTCACATTTGCTTCAAACCTAACAAACTCACTCATATTAAAGCAAAAGCATGGCTGTTGTGCACCCTTTTCCGTGCTGAGCAATTGGCCTCGCTAGACATACTCACTATTACGCTCCTCCAGTTATAGGTGGGCTCTCCTGGGGATAAAATGCCATAGTAGCTGCAATTTCCTCTGAATTGCTGAGGGTAATAGTGAGCCATCTGAGTTTTATGTTCTAATTTGAAAAGAAAAAAAGAACAGAAAAACATTCATAAGTCCAAGTTTACAAGCACACACACGTATGGAGGAGGCCCAAGGTAACACATATGCTATTGATTGGTGCCTCCTAAGTTCTCTCCACTTTATATTTCTTCCATGGTGTTTACCCAATATTCTAATATTACAGATACTCTTCTACATAACCCATTTGCCTTATGGAGAAATATTCCGTGTGCCTAAAGTGCCACACTATTTTCAATCTTGGAACTCTCTATGATACTGTGTATAAACTCAGTAGACAACATAATTGCATCTTACCTAGATCAGATAGTAAAAATAACTAGAATGAGTGAAGGATAAAAATCTGTATTCTTCCACACTAACTACAGTCTTGGGTGAGTGGAAAGCCTGAGAGATATAACAATGAGGCTTTTTTTCTGGGCTAGGGGGATGACTCAATGGTCAAAGCTCTTGCCACATAAGTGTGAGGACCAGAGTTCAAGTCCCCAGAAGCCAGGTAAAGCTGAGCATGTAGAGAGGTATGTAATCCCAGTATTTCTGTGGCAAGATGGGAGGCTAGAGTCAGGGGAGTCCCCATCAGTCTAGCTAGCCTGCATATGCATGGTATTGAGACTCTGACAAAGAAGACACCCAAGGTTGTCCCCTGACTTCCACACTCTAATTATGGTCCAGATAATATACATACATATATACCATGCACTTACGTAATATACCATACACATATACATATACACATACACCATACACATACATAATATTCATATACATATTTTTAAAGGGAAAGCTTTTCCTGAAAACTCAAAATGAATGCTATAATAAGCAAATGATAAGCAGACTTTATGTTTGTTCTTTGTCTTATTCACAGGGTCTAACTGTATTATCAGGCTGGCCTCAAAACAATGACCCCCTTGGCCTCCACTCCAACCTCAGATATCATTCTTCAATACCCTTGTGTTTTGAGACAGGGTCTCTTACTGGCCTAGAGCACATCAATAAGGGTATGCTGGCTAGCCTGGGAGCCCCAGGGAAAGCCTGTTCCCCAGATTTGCAATGCCAAGATCGTGTAAGTCTGGTAGGCTTCCATGCCTTACCTCTTACATGCATGTGACCAACTAGCCACGTGTGTTCTGCCCAGAGATGAGAATAAATGACCGTTTTACCTGGGGAGTATTGAAATCCTCCAATTGAATGCTGCAACACCTCCAAAGCATCATCGAATGCTTGACCCAACCTGTCATGTTCAGTGAAAGTCTGCTGCAACAATGGTGAAATTCGGGAGTTCTGAAATTAGTAAAATGTAAGTTTACTCTTGCTAGGAGTCTCAACTTTAGCACTCTGGGCATAGTAGACTAGCCAAGTTGTCATTGCTGCATGTTGTTCCTTGCACTGTAGAATGGTCAACAAAGCTCCTTGGGACCTCCCTGCTACTAGACAATCAATGGCGTGGCTCAGGTGTCACCAAATAAACGTGAGAGCCACTTTCCTAGGTTAGTAGTATTTAAAGCACTAGCCTGCAAGACTGGTGCTTACCGAAAGGATTTACCTTATAGTATACATATTATATCATATAATTACATAACTCAAGAGCATAAAATTTTATATAGTATAAGTAAAAATTACAGGGTCAGTCCCTGGCACCATGTAACTAGCATGGTAGCACATGTCTACAGTTGCAGCAAAAAAAAAAAAAAAAAAAAAAAAATCTTAGTTTCAATACTGGAGAGTAAAGATAAACAAATAAAACAACTGACCATTGTTCCTAAATGGGTCCTCTTGAGTTGAGGGAAAGCACTCCCCGATAGCTTGTACAAGGTTCTGGGCTCAATAACGAGTTCTGGTGGAGAAGAAAAAGACAAATTAAATAACAGGACAGTTGCAAATAGGTTTATCATTTATTGTTTGTCTTTTGCTTTTTTGGAGATAAGGTCTCAGTCTGAAGCCCAGCCAGGCCTCCAAGTCATAGTAATCTTCCTATGCGAGTAACCTTGAAATAAAAGTAATTTTTAATTTGATTGTAAATGAACACATCTTGCACTGAAAAGCATTATAAATGCCAAATGCCATCATCTGAATTCTTTCACGGGATGCATTTTCTTTCCACAAAATTTCCTTCAAAGATTACACTTTTCTATCATTGCACGTATGTATGTGTATTGTGTAAGCATGAACAAACGCATGTGTGTGTGTGTGTGTGGCTGCTCGTGCGTGCCAGTGTGTGCAGAGAGCAGAAGTTGATGCCATGTGTCTTTGTCCACTACTCTCCACTTTGTAAGTACTGAAACAGTATCTCTCACTTGAGCCCCAGAATTTGCTGAGTGGATCAAATTGTCGAGTTTATGCTGATTCATCGTACGAAGTGCTGGGATTGCAGGAGGCCACTCCCTCCCGGGCAGGATGTCCTAGTGTGGTTTCTATTACTGTGACAAAGCACCATGACCATAACAACTTGAGAGAAAAGGGTTTTCCTATCTATTGTCACTGCATCATTGCGGGATGTCAGGGCAGGAACTAAGCAGAGGCCACAGAGGAACGGTATGTTTTCTTGCTCAGCTGGCTTTCTTATATATAACTCTGGACTACCTGCCACAGTGGTCAGAGCACTCTCACAGTCAATCAAGAAAGCGCTCCACAGGGTGGAGGTGGTACACTTTCCATCTCTGCACTTGGGAGGCAGAGGCGGGCTGTGAGTGCTGTAGACAGACTAGTCTACCTAGGTCAGTGAAGGCTGCACACAAGGAGAAACCCTGTCTCAAAAAACTCCAAAAAAAAAAAAAAAAAAAAAAAAAAAAAAAAAGCAAAACAAAACAAAACAGAAAGAAAGGAAAAGAAAAAGCTCCACAGGCTCACCTATAGGCCAATCTAGTGGAGGCATTTTCTTAATTAAATTTCTTCTTTCCAGATGACTCTAAGACTCTAGTTCCTGCCGTGCCAGAAAACACAACAAGAACAACAAAAACCAACAAAGAACTAGGGAGCTCATCAGGATCTCCAGAGGCCCTGGAGATCCAAAGCCTGGCCCTCAGGTTTACGGGGCCAGCACCTCTACCCCTCAGCTCCTCCCAGTTCTGACAAGTGAATCTCCCGAAAGGGGGTGGATCACCCTCCCTGCTTAGCTGACCAGAGCACAGAAAGCACAGGAGCATGTTGAAGAATCCCCGCTTAAATGCTTTATTTTATAACCCCGGGCAGGCAGTGCAAACCTATATACTTCTCTCCTGGAACGCTAGCACTCGAAAGCTGAATCAGGAAGACTAGCTCAGATTGGAGTTTGTTGCCAGCCTGGGTTATGCACCCCACCCCAAATGCTTTTCATTTAAAATTCTGAAATGCAATGTCTGCCTTCGGAATCTTGGCGCAGACCATTTATCGGGCCAGGCATGAAGGCCGTCGTAGAAAGCCTATGCCTGGAAGGCTGAGGACATATGGTTTCTGTGCGTTAGACGATGTGATTTTTTTGTCGCTGTTGTTTTATCTACTTCTTTTCAGTGAAGACTATTTTCTAATAGCAGTTGTGGCAGAGATGGGCGCCTTAAATGCTCCCTATCTGTGTGAATGGTATTTAAAACAGATTATCATATATATCATTTATAAACCAGAGGCTGTTTCCTCAAGTTATTATTCCATAAACAGATACCCTTTATTATTTAATGTTTAGCATTTGTTTTATTTTGCTGTTATTTATTTTTGACACAGGGTTTCTCTGTGTAGCCCTGGCTGTCCTGAACTCATTCTGTAGACCAGGCTGGCCTTTACTTTAACTCACAGAGATCCACCTGCCTCTGCCTCCTGAGTGCTGGGATTAAAGGCATACACCTGGCAAGACTTTAATCTAATACTGATGTAATAACAATTAATACCAAATGATACAGTGGGATCATAGCTCAATACTTTATCTTCCAATTAGGTCACTTAAAACATGAGACCAGGCTGTGGTGGCACATGCCCGTAATCCCAGGACAGCCAAGCCAACACAGAGAAACCATGACTCGAAAAACTAACAATAACCAACAACAAAAAAGAAAACATAAAAAGAACATTCATAAATCCAGTCTGGGATGTTCTTTAATCAATTTTTTTTTTGGTGGTCTGTTTATTTGCTCTTTTAAGAGCGTGACTATGAAGCCTGGGCTAGCCTCACACTCATTCTGTAATCCAGACTGGTTTTAAACTCCTTTCCGGGAGGCAGATCTCTGAGTTCGAGAGCAGCCTGGTCTACAAGAGCTAGTTCCAAGGCAGCCTCTAAAGCTCCAGAGAAACCCTGTCTCAAACAAAACAAAAACATCAAAACCCGCCTGTCAGTACCCCTTTGTCAGCCTCCCAAAAACTGAGATTTTAGCCATGCACTGACCCACCCACCACATGAACGTTTAGATATTTAGATATTTTTTAAAAACTTTGAGGCACCCATGACTTTACTCATTAGTGCTGAAGATGGTTGTATTTTGAACTAAGTACCTAAAGGCGCCTGGAGTATTTTAGGAGAAGCAAACTCTTTACACTTTGTTTCCATGAACTGTAAATAAAGGGGTATAAGTGGTTTCATTGAAGTGTGTGCTCTAAAGATGCTGGTTCTGAGGTCCCCCTCCAGCTTGAGTTTCCATTCCCCGCACCACCACATCAGCCAATGCTCCAAAGCCCGTCACCGTACAAAGGAAAGAAGAAATCCTTGCTAGGCACCTAAGTGGATCAACATTTCTTGCAACTGAACAAACAATTAAGACAACTGCCCAAGAAACATTCATCTGAAGGAGAAAACTGAACAGTTAATACAAAGGGCTTGGAGAAGCATAAGCCGAACACTCACTCACCCGGAAGGTGTTCTTCAGCCCTGCATGAAATTGTACTGCTAGCACTGCAATCATCAAGACACCATCTAGAACATGCTGGCAGCGTTGCAATAAATACTTATTTTTAAGGAAGTGCTACAAAGGGGATTTTTTTTAAAAGATACAGTGCCTACATAATCCCATTTCTTGGTGTGGCCAGTAAGATGTCAGGAGCTACTATTTTGAAGGGATGTGTAATAGATTGCATTCTTCCAGCCCAAGCATTAGAATCAAACTCAAGGCCCAGCCCCCCCCCCTACATTCTCCCACCCCAACTCAGCTTCTCTGTTCTGCTTAGCCTATTCAGAAACCTCTGACCCGTCTCTCATCCCCCCACCTCCTTCTCTCCCAGTTTAGGACTCCATAATCTCTTCTCTAGACTGAGTGGCTTGCCCAAGACCTCTCCTAATGATCCTCCTAAGGCACATAAGCCCTGAGCCTTCATTGCAACCTCCAAGACTTAGAGCTTTAGCTGCTGCATCATAGCTTTTCCTGACCTAAACCTTAGTTCCCAGTTCATTCAAGAGGGAGTATTCTGTTAAAGGCACTCATTGACAATCCCGATGAGCTGAATTCTGCCCCAGAACCAGAAATGACTCCTTCAAAGGGTAGTAAGGGCTGCTGTGGTGTCACACTTATCCAGCACTCAGCAGAGGCAGGAGGACCACTGGGAATTTAAGGACGGGGTTACATCACCAGACCCTGTCCCAAGAAGCAAAGGGGTGAGCTAGAGAGATGGCTTAGAAGTTAAGAACACCGGCTGCTTCCCCCGGGGGCTCCTAGCCCCTACAATGGCAGCACAGTCTTCTGGTCTCTATGGGCAACCAGTATTTCAGGGCTGCACACACACACACACACACAGACAATACACAAATACACAGAAAATAACGTAGGGGTGGGAAGGATGAGATCTTCAGGTTGAGATCATCAAAGGGCACCTAAGTAGTTACAATTCCTAGGTGGCACTCAAGCTGAGTGTTCCTCAAGCACAACAGCCACTGGTGCAGAGAAGTTCTCTACTTAACCAGAAGGTTAAACTGGCTTTAGGTGACTTTGATGGAAATCGGGGTGGGGGGTGGTCCCAGGTCTCCTCAGTGCACCCTCCCCAAAAGTCTGGTTCCCATACCTGTCCAACAGGGCATCGGAAATCACACAAAATGGAAACAAACTCCTCCTCCCCAGGCTTTGGCAGTCTCCGAACTAGCTGGCACCCGGCCTTCTTAAGAGCCATCCCTTTTGGCCTGGGGCGGGGCAAATCGGAGATGGGGAGGGAATACCCAAAGAAATCCTCAGTAAATCCTGTGGGTGGTAATGTTGGAAGGGTGTGTGTGCTCACCTTTTACCTTTGATATGGGAGTTTGTTCTTGTATGGGACGGTTTGTTATGCAAACATAGCAAACAGCTCCTCTTCTCAAATGCAGACACTAAGTTAACAAAAATGGAACCCTAATCACTCATGTTGATTTGTTTTTGTTGGATCCCAAGCCACACCAAATCTTCACCCATTTTCAAGACATCCAATCTATTTGTTCACTTGATGAATACAAGTTTTGGAGCTCTTTACTCGGCAGACATTGGCCAGGGTCTAAGAGCCATATCTCATGGGTGTTGGTGGCTCACGCCTTTAATCCCAGCACTCAGGAGGCAGAGGCAGGTGGATCTCTGTGAATTCAAGGCCAGCCTGGTCTGCAGAGCAAGTTTCAGGACAGGTTCCAAAGCAATACAGAGAAACCCTGCCTTGAAGACAAAACAAACAAACAAAACAACAAAAAGAGCCATATTTCTGGACAGTTCTATTGAGAATAAATTATATATTAAAAACCCTGTCTCAAAAAACTACTAAATAAATACATAACAGACAATAACCTCTGGGCTTGGTGGCACATGCCTGTAATCCCATGTTTGGGAGTTGCAAGTTCAAAGCCATTTTAAGCAATACAGCTGAGAGCCTATCCCAGCAAATGAAGC